GATAGATAGATGGATGGATGGATGGATGGATGGATGGATGGATGGATGGATAGATAGATAGATAGATAGATAGTGAAAAGTATGAAAAAAGTCATTTCAGAGAATAAGCATGATATGACTTGGCTGAAGCATTCATTTGATACCAACCTGAACAAGGTCAACCCCTTACACATCAGATTGTGACAGTCTAAACAATGTCAACCTACAGACCTTGCATGGCCTCATGTTGTCTCAGTTTGACAAAGAATAACAGCCTGATTGCACACAAACTCCCATTTTTCTTTTTAGATACGCCTGTAAAGTACAGTATCTGATTCATGTCAGCAGCTCTTTTGCATAGTTTGTCTAAGGGGACATTAAGATGAATAATTGTGCCCGCATCTGCTAAATATTTGATTTATTGAATGCTAGGGTAATATGTTTGCACTGGCAAATTAAGTGTGCACACATATTTACACTGCATTTCTAAAAAGTAGAAAAGAGATTCAGACAAGACAGCTCGAGAGACGTATATAGACAAAACAATAGAACGATAGATAGACAGACAGACAGACAGACAGACAGACAGACAGACAGACAGACAGACAGACAGACAGACAGACAGACAGACAGACAGACAGACAGACAGACAGACAGACAGACAGACAGACAGACAGACAGACAGACAGACAGACAGACAGACAGACAGACAGACAGACAGACAGACAGACAGACAGACAGACAGACAGACAGACAGACAGACAGACAGACAGACAGACAGACAGACAGACAGACAGACAGACAGACAGACAGACAGACAGACAGACAGACAGACAGACAGACAGACAGACAGACAGACAGACAGACAGACAGACAGACAGACAGACAGACAGACAGACAGACAGACAGACAGACAGACAGACAGACAGACAGACAGACAGACAGACAGACAGACAGACAGACAGACAGACAGACAGACAGACAGACAGACAGACAGACAGACAGACAGACAGACAGACAGACAGACAGACAGACAGACAGACAGACAGACAGACAGACAGACAGACAGACAGACAGACAGACAGACAGACAGACAGACAGACAGACAGACAGACAGACAGACAGACAGACAGACAGACAGACAGACAGACAGACAGACAGACAGACAGACAGACAGATAGATAGATAGATAGATAGATAGATAGATAGATAGATAGATCGATAGATAGATCGATAGAACGACAGAATGATAGAACAATAGATAGACAGATAGAGTTGAGTAAAATGACAAAAACCAAACAGATGCCATTGTTTCTACTGCTCCATCACCCATTTGGTTGTTTGCATCAGTGGATTAAGATAAATTATCTAGATCACTTTGGAAGTTAAATTCAGACAAGATACATGTCCTATGTTTGTTTATTAGAATGACTTGGATAATTTAAGCAGATGGCTCATTTAACCTCTGTGCAGCATATGAAAATAAGGGCATGACTGACTTTGGGTAGGTGTCACCTCACAAAGGATGGATGCAGGAGGAAAATCATTTAATTTGTATAGTGATTTTCTTAATACCCCACTTTACATGTACAATGGAAATACCTTAATCTCCACATACATGCATAAATTATTCTGCAAAGCCGGAGTGTTTCAATACTCTTACCGCACATCAGCTACTCAAGTGACAACGAAGTGGAAGGGTCGTGGGTGAAGGACATGAGCCAGCTTTCAGAACTGAGAATATTAAAAGGCCTGGGTTGAGGGACTGTAAGAGGAAATTAATAATAACAAGATTTCATCTGTGGTGTTAAGGTTAACATATGCAGCCTAGTGTACAAACTCTCAATGTTGAGCATGTGGTGTGGAATGAAGAACGAAAACTACATTTGAATGGCTTCAAGGGCCATTCATTATGCAAGTTAATGACTTGGACATGCAAAAAATCAAAGGTAGTTATGATGGTAGCCCCATTACTCTCATCTGCATTGTTTGTTTTGCCTAGCAAAACAGGAAAGGAACTGCCAAAGTATACAAATTGAATAATAAAAATTATTTCAGTTTTAAGGTTTTATATACCTTAACCAATAAAATAAACCATTACCATAGCAATGATCCCATAAATCATTCACAACTGTTAAATAATTGAGTATCATCACATACTTGTGTCTAAGTTTCATTGGTTGAAGTGTAGAAGTAATTTTAGTCTCAGAATCTTGAGTGTTCAGAAACATTAAGCACGTGGCATGCAATGACGCCATTTAGACCTAGCTGGGCCACGGCTACCTATAGCTCAAAAACAAATCTAAAATGAAATTGTTTTATCCAAAGTTGTCCCTAATATCATTTTTTTTTTCGTAAAAACTTTTTCGCATCCAAACCTGAATTGTTGCTTGCATTTCGAGCTACTGAGACGATCGCAAGACATCGGACTCGCGACTATCTACATTAAATTAACATATTAATAACAATAATGAAGTTAAAAGGCAAGAATCATTTCAGGTTTAAAATCCTAAATAGTTATTTTACTCAAATCTGTTTATTGCTGTTACCATTACTTACTTACGCAGGAATAAAGCGAGCCGCGATGGACGGCTTTTTATTTATTTATTTTCGTCGGAAGAACGTTTAATCTTATGCAAATAATAGTTGATATCTAACAGTTGAGATATATGAATTACTTAAACATCAAGTTCATCAATAAAGAAATGTCAGTTTATTTATTAATAATGTATCAATTATATTAATAATAAAAACTATTATTATTATTATTATTATTATTCAATTTACACATTTTAAATGGTTCTTTTCCTGTGTAAATGGAGTCTCCTTTATATATATATATATATATATACATATACATATATATATATATATATATATATTATATCTTGTATGCTCTGAAAGGAAAAACTTTTATTCTTCTCTCACACATCCATTTCAAAATCTGCGCATCATTATTGCTCTAATATCCCTCACACACGCCTCTTATAATTTTAATAAATGTTTTGCGCGGTCATTTGAAGAATCGTTGAAAAGAACGACAGATTCAGAAAATGTTAGGGTTGGCAAATTCTTAAACTCTTTCATCAAAAGGCACTAGCAAGGGTCGTTGAATCTTACTTGACATTGATGATTCGTTTGTGGTCATTAGAAACATGAACTGTTCCAAATTATTAAAAAGATCTGGGAGGGTGTGTTCGCGCAGTGATGACGCTGGTGCTCGCCTGTATAAAACATTGCAACCAATCTCAACTGATGGATTCGTTTAAAACAACCACAAGACCAGAAGCATCCAGTACTCTTGAGTGTAGGGCAGAGCTACAACAGTACTAACAAAACTGCTCAAGGTAGTTTGGAATCTTTGGCTGCGCAACTAGACAATCACTCGGCACGTGAACCGACAGATAACAAATCACTGTGGGCGTTATATTGTTACCCTTTCTTGTACCACCATGTACTAATGAGCAAATATATTCGAACTTCTTCAGCCTCTATATTGAGCGTGGGCTTTATATGAAGAGGAAGACTTGCTCAGCATTGTCATCTTAATTAATTATTAGCTTCTCTCTTCTGCTGTCCACCAACGCCTGTCAAGCAATCCATGGTGAAGATGAACTAATTAGTTTGACTTACAATCCTAAAGTTTGGGAAGTTATGTTTAGAACGCGTGCTTTATAACCCACGGTTTTAAAACGAAAGTTACAAACTGTAAAGACTATCTTCCACACTTTGATCTGCAGTTGGATTCAACAAGGGGAAAAAAAACAATGGAAAAAGAGAACAATTCCAGACAGCAATGCCGCAACACGTTTCTACAGGCTGTGAGAGAAAAAGGCACTCATTGGCGTTCTTTTCCTGCTCGTTTGGACTAAACAGAAGGCTCGCTGTCGACCTAATTTGGTTTTGGTAACAGATCAGTTCAATTATTCAATTAGACGGGTCCCAAAGCCAACCCGGACCGATCTGTGAACCGTGGCGTCACTTCCAATTCGAGTGTTAAAGAGATTTCCTTCCTAAACACACATAATGAACTCTGCGTTCGGCTAGTCTTATAGGTAACACTGAACATTACTCTTATTAAAGAGGACAATAACCTAGGCCTACCTCAGCCCATTAGGCTACAGTATACGAAGAAACCACATTATTCACTAAACTCGCGCGATTAAAACTAGAAACTAAATGCGGCTGGTAAGTGAAGAGATGAGAGGAGATGAAGAACAAAATCTCAATGCAAAGTCTGAAACGTTCTTTCTTTATTTCTCTCATTCGGAGTGCCTTTTTCGCAGGGTTTGACATATTCTAGCTGTTATCAGATTGATGGGCTAGTTTGATTGAAGTGGCTTTGTCATGCAAATGTCAAGCGCGTGATGGATGGTCGCCGTGCGCTGACAAACTTCTGGAGTTCCCCTCACCATTGGCGCCGTGACGTCTCACGTGACCAGCAGCTGAGGTAAAGATGTGTTATAGGGAAGCATGAGCAAATACTCTAGAGGTAAGCATTTCCCCCTTCCGCATGACAAACTGTTGCGAGCTTGCAGGACAGGAGGCTCTCCCGATCTCTCAGGCTGACCCTCCGCCATTAATTGCGCATGGACAATTCCAGAATGAACTCTTTTTTGGAGTACACAATTTGTAACCGTGGGCCGAACGCCTACTCGCCCAAGGCTGGATACCACCACTTGGATCAAGCGTTCTCGGGCCCCTTCCATACCGGACACGCAAGTGACAGCTATAACGCTGATGGACGACTTTACGTAGGAGGGAGCAACCAGCCAGCAGCAGCACAACATCAGCACCAGAGCGGCGTCTACGCGCATCACCAGCACCAAACTCATCAGAGTGGCATTGGCCTTACCTACGGTGGCACGGGGACTACGAGTTATGGGACCCAGGCCTGCGCCAACCCGGACTATGCTCAACACCAGTATCCCATTAACCCTGAGCAGGATGGGATGTATTATCACTCATCGGGGTTTTCAAACTCAAATGTCGGTCCTCACTATGGCTCCATGGCTGGTGCATACTGCGGGGCGCAGGGAGCCGTTCCAGCCGCACCTTATCAGCATCATGGATGCGAAGGCCAGGACCACCAGCGAGGCTACTCACAAGGCACCTACGCCGACTTATCGGCCTCCCAAGGGAGGGAGAGGGACACGGATCAGTCGCCACCTGGGAAGACATTCGACTGGATGAAAGTCAAAAGGAATCCTCCTAAAACAGGTGGATTGAATTGCCTCTGTGACGAAAATATCTAGGAGCTACACACTCAAATCAAGAGCAATTATGCCTTACACCTATCCTTACAGCAAATAAGCTTGCAGATCACCAAAAAAATAACATACACTAATTAGAAACTATTTACCTAAAATATCTAAAGACAGATAAGTTGAAAATAGGCCTGTTCCCTTCAGTTTCAACCCTTAATGCATCGAACAGACATGCTTTCGTTCGCCCTTGGAAATACACCAGCACTGTTATCCTTAGCTTGTCCCCGGTTCTCGCCGCGCAACATTCGTTTTTGTTGGCCTACATTGTGTTCTTAAGCTTTCGTCTCCTGTCCCAGCAGTGTTTGCCTCACAACGATTTAGTGCACCAACTTTTACGCACGGAGGCCACCATTTTGACATACTGTACAAATTGAGTGGTCATAAAGCCACCTTTGGGGAGTATTGCATTGCATGTATTCCATAGACCCCGTTATGAGTTCGTTCAAAATTGATAACATATACAAACGGGGTAATTATGGTAAGGTTAACAAAAGTTTGTAATACCGCATAACTTGTTGAAATTCATGCGTGATAGTGCAATTTAAATGGTCACATCTAATAAAGTTTAAGAACAGAAGCACACTTGATTGTTGTTGGTGTGTTTACAAAATAAGCCGTTAAATTATGACTATGGTATTTTATTTCTGTGTGTAATTGTTTGACAAACAGCCATTTAACTATTCTTTATTTTTTTCCTTGCAGCTAAAGTGGCCGATTACGGATTGGGACCACAAAACACAATCCGGACGAATTTCACAACGAAACAACTCACGGAGCTCGAGAAAGAGTTTCACTTCAGCAAATATCTCACGCGAGCGCGGCGAGTCGAAATTGCTGCCACGCTCGAGCTGAACGAGACACAGGTTAAGATATGGTTTCAGAACCGCCGAATGAAACAGAAGAAGCGAGAGAAGGAGGGACTCGCGCCTGCTTCGTCCACCTTGTCTAAAGACCTCGAGGATCACTCCGATCACTCAACTTCAACATCTCCAGGAACTTCTCCAAGCCCGGATTCCTAACCGATTATAATAGTTTCGGGTGCATTAAACAACAGATTCGAAATATATAGTAAAGTCTATTAATTTAAGCATTCCACAATGTGCCCGAAAGACCTTCTCGTCTTTTTATGATGGACGATTCGTTTAAGGAAACCGAACTTCAGGCGAAAAAGTGAAGAGCAAAGAGACTTTTAGCACAACAATGAACAGAGTTACACCGTCTGCGCGAACACAATTTCCAATACTCCCTGGAAACGTTTGTGTGTGTTATACAGGGTATTTCTACTATTATAAATATAATGCACTGTCACAATGTTTACAAGTCTCTAAACGAATCTAACTGACTTTACAGGGAGCTTATTGTGTTGTCAAAATATGCATTGGTGTATTTTGTTGCGTTTATGAAAATGTATTTTTAATTTGATGTACACATTTCATATATTTGAGTTTTGAGGATTGTAGCTATAGGGGCTTTCGGACTCCTTGCACTATACGTTTACAGGGTAGGCCTTTACTGAACACCAGCACAATTTACTGGAATATATGAACGATTCCTTCTCAGTGCGCACTGTGATATTCCATTATTCAATTTACAGCGGAAAATAATTAATACTGTGCTGCTAGCCAGGCCTAATTTACTATAAAAATTTGAATTTTGGTAAAGTTCTATTCCGTTTGTAGAAAAAAAAGCAATGCTTTTGTAAAAGTAATATGTACTTTTCTTAATTAAAACATTTAAATAATTTGATCTTTTAGCCTAGTATTTTTTTATGCGCAGACGAGCTGAGTTTTATTAGTTACTGTCTGTATGATTCCGTAATCTAAATGTCTCAATCAAATGCTTCTGTCAAGTTCTTTATCTACCTCAAATAAAAACAATATTTTACTGAACCAGTCTCTGCAACCAGATTACATATGTATTCGTGTGTATGTAATATAAGAAAAATGTTAGTATGGAGTAAACGATGACAAAGCTTTAATAGTTCTTCTCTTCACTTAGAGGGTGAGAAAGCGACCACCAGTCAATTGTGTTATAGGATGCTCGGAGAACGGAACGGAATGTTGTTGAGCAATCAGGGTGGTTAAAGATGACCTTTTTACCTCGGTGTGCTTCTATCTAAACATCCCAACAGACTCGGTTTAGGGGTGGCACAAATAGCGCTGATCCTGAATGGGCTTCTTATTTACTCGCTAAACACATTAAACACTTTCAAAACCATAAATCTTTAGAATAGTCCGCTACATGCATTGAATTATCATTCTCAAGTGCTCAACAACGAATAAAGCATTCATAAAGGTAAAATAATATAGACTCTGACAGTTTACATTAGCCCTCCAATTCTGACGGCTGTTAAAATATTATTGCAATTGACATATCAAATAATTAAAGACACTCTTAAAAATCCGTAATTAAAATTGTGCCATGACAGACATGTTTGGTCTTTGCAGCAGGGTTAACATTAGGTCTACTTCAGAGGAAAACAATGCTGGACTGCTCCCTGGGTGGTTCTGTTACTCAAACGCATCTCTCTCACCAGGCCAGTGTTTTTGTGGCAAGAAAGACAACACATATTGTAACAAGCAGTTCCTTTAAGCGAAGGCAAAAACTTATTAGGCAGTGGAATGGTTTCCGCAACAACGATAAAGAAATGTTCAAAAACATGTATACATTTAATTATGATTGAATATACGAATTACGACTTCAATGTCACTATACCAATTTAGGATTCACAATGTCCCTAATAATACGAAAGTACCTTTTAGAAAGTAAGTAGAAAGAACTTTTTAAGAGATTTTTTTTTTATTCCATAAAAATATAATGTTGCATTCTAAGAGATAATAACTAGCCTCAAAATATATACACAATCTAAACAAATACAAACGATTTGGCCCAAGATACAACTGGAAAAGAAGACGATACAGCAATTGCTCTATGATTCTCTCTCGACCATCTGCTGGTGCAGATTTCAGTCACGCTGTTCGGGGCGTTTGTCCTGTACCCCCCTGAACGGGCCTTTGATCCAAGCGCTACACCCGTGGTCAACATCCGTATTTTTACGTTTCATCATGCATTGAAACGTAAAGTAATGCTTACAGTAAGGGGTTTACATGGAGGTCACCCTTAACTTTAACTGAACTCTTTGCCAAAAAACTGGACGAGTCTCTGACTTTTCTTCAATTTCCCATAGCAAAAACAATACATATGTAATGGCTTTGAAAGGCAAAATGCATATAGGCCTATATGCAAAATGAACAATTCGATTATTATAAAATTTGTTATCCCTCATATTAGTAGGCTTTTTAAATATATTGTGATTTGTGTTTACCTACACTGTAAAAAATAAATAGTTGAGAAAATGTAAGAAATAAATAAATAAGGCAACTTGACGCAGTAAAACTTTTGAGTTGTCTCAACAATAGTTTTTTAGGTCTTTTCAGCAAAGATACTTTGTTTAGCCAACATAATTTTTTTTTGTTCATGCAATGCTGATTGTCTTATTTTGGTTATATATATATATATATATATATACAAGCTGCTTGAATGATCAAACCTTATCAGTTTATAGTTTATATGTATGAGCTGTACAATATTTCTGCACTTGATATGAATATGTGGCTCAGTCAGTGATAAATCAGGATCATAAAATGATGCTCATTCTGCGAGCCAGCTATAATTTGTGTAGTTACACAAACATTACAGCTGTAGATACTATGTACCAATGTGTACTTACACTGTGGTTACATACTATTGACACATCTAGTTACTATGTAAGTACACAGGTATTAGGGCCACAATATAAAGTGGGACCAAAAAATGGATTAAAATGGTTGAACATATACTCTATGACTCAAAACTTGATACACAAACCTCAAGTATGGTGGCAATCAACAAATGTTAAAGAGTTGAACTTTGTACATCACAGCACAACAAATAACTAACAATAATGACAAAACAACAACAAAAAGTTTAAATGAAGTCAGCAAACAGCAAAACAACAATCCTATAACAGTAACTGTATAATTTATTCATGCTGCAATGCATGCTGGGAACTCACATAACCTTAACAGTTCAGCAATATGAAATGATTTGTTCAGACAACTTTCACTAGCTGGGACAACATTTGGGGTAATTTTGTTGGTCTGACAAGGGTTTTATGTAGTTTCAAGAAAATAGCATTTTTTTGTATTTGAGACTCAAAAGGTTTTGTAAACTGGAAAATATGCAGTTGCACTTTTTTTTTTTTTACAGTGTATACGTATTGCCAATTATTTTACACCACAGTATCTACAGGACTTGTTTAGGTTTGTCACGAAGATTGGACATACACTGAGGGGTTTTCCCCCCTCGAAGTGTAATTTCGAGTCATTGCTCATTATAAAAAGGTCACCTTAAAAGAAAATCTCATCTGTTTTCCGTCTGTGCTCTACTGACAGACTTTCGTTCAAATTAGACATCAGATTTTAGGAACTCTCAGTTTTCTTTTGTGCCAACCTCAAAAACACATGCGGAGCAAAGCAGGTGAGCGAGAGAGGGCAAACTCCGGTGAAAGACCGGGGGGGGGATGAACTCTGAGCTAGAGGGTGCTGACAAGTGGTGAAGAGAACTAGTAGAGGGGGTTTTTCGAACTTTTGAGGAAACTAACTTTTTTCCCCCTTGTGACCTCACCTCTTCCCCGAAGTTTACGCGGGCTTGACAGTTCCATTTCATCCACGACCCTCTGACGGACTACCCCAATATTTGCTCAGGCGGACAGGTTTGCCCTGGGTCCTGCCTCAAACATCCCCTGACTACTTCTCCCCTGGCCTCGGTTCACGCAGAGTTCAGGCCAAATTAATACTCGAAACAGGCAGGTCAGCCTGTCAGGAGCTGCGAACGGGCTTCCATCTCGCCGGGGTCACGCGCAGGTCTCGCCCTTCAGCTTGCGCCGCGAGCATCGTTCTGGGGCTTCACTTGATCTCTCTTGAATTTTTTAGCTGTTCACCCGTATCTTCCACTCTCCCCGGTCAGCACCTTTGATTCCCCCATCATTCCACCACACTGTAAACGCACAATTTTTTTTGTTGCAAAAATTGCACATTTTATAAATACAACCATTTTAACATTTTTTTTTTAATTAAATTTTTTAATTAAAAAGCTTTCGATTTAGAAACAAGTAGCGTGCATGTTGTTCGTGAAGTACAGAAAACAACATTAAGACGTTTTAAAAATGTAAAAATGTAACTTCTGAATGGCTTAAAAATGATTGATATTTAAGATTTAAATTATTGATAAACATTTAATCATGGTTATGAAATTAGTACCTCGAGGAAAAGTGTGTAATATGGCAGGTAAATAAACGAAAAAGCAATATATTATCAAGACAGACTTACACAATTCACTTCGACAAACTCTTGAAATGTCAGGATATTTTAGTTACATACATATTTGGACAAACATATTTGGAGTAAACTAAAGATGAATTACAGTAGCTGACCAATTTTCTATTTTGACCTGACAATGTGAGCTCATGTGCTTTGTGTCTCTCACATTAAATTAATTATGAGGGCACCTGCGCAGATTTTGTTCTTTTCATTTAAAAAAAAAAATGTAATTACTACTTTAGCTACTGTAACTTATTAATGCTACTGACTTTTGCATTCCCAGCTGTTTTACTTTCAATTGCATTAAAATTGCATTTTTATTAGTGATTTATTTACATAACTCCTCTAAATAGCGGGAGATTAACCTGTTGAAAAAGCTCATATGTTAAAGCTTATACGCAGTGTTATAGTTTAACAATACCCAATATTTCTAAATAAAATTGTTATCTAATTTATTTTTAACAATTATATTATTATTATTATTAACAATAATCACAACATATGCTTAACACAGTCTCGTTGTTGTTATTGAATTAATAAGGTGGTTGATATTGGATGTAATGGCTATTGACGTTTAGAAGATGGCTGCGTAAAGATATTGCATCCCATTATTGAACTCTGCACTAAGTTTCATTACCGTTTGCCCTGTAGTTAAAAAT